TATTATTATTGTTGTTATTTTTGTATTATTAATATTACTATTACTGTTATTCATTAATTGGTTTTTTTTTAAATATATATATATATATAGGTATAATAATATTTCATCAATAACTAGCAAGTCGTTTGGGCTTTCCACCGGAGGGGAGAAATTTATAGCGCGCCCCTCCATTTTTTTTCCTTAATTTTTCTTTTCTTAATCTCGCGAGTAATTACTTGTACGCGCCACCACGTTCACGTACACGTGAACCACGTACACGTATGTACCACGATTGTTTTTTTTTTTGTTTTTTACATTAATTATATCGTATATTTGGTTGCGTGTATGTATGTACGTATGTATAAGTGAAGTTAGCAAGTAAGTGTCTCTTGCAATGATTCATCGGTTTTGTGTGCGAAGTGTGTGTACGCAACAGGCAACAGTATCGTACGAACAAGGTGGAAAAGTAAAGAGAAGGGTGTTGCCTGCCCCTATAAACTATAAATACATTATTTATACGTATATTATATATAAATATATAAATAAATAAATATATACGTCCGTACAATGTGTGCATATACGTGTATATTCGTATATTCGTTTATACATTTATATATATATATATTTTTTTTTCTTGTAGCATTTGTTATATTTATTTAAATAGCGTATAAATTTGAGATAGCTTTTAGTCGTGTCATAAATTGCGCCAGACTAGAGCCGGTCCTCCCATTCCCTGTCCTTCGAAATAATAATTTACTCCATGTTGATTTAGCTAAACTATATAATAATTTACTAAGTTTCTAGTTTTTTTACCTTCTTCGATCGGTCAATATGTATATATATATATATATATTCATTTCATTTATATTTCATATTTATAATATTTATATTTATATATATATATATACTCCTTCTTCAATAATTCATATTTATATATTTATATATAGAATAGTTGTTGGTACTTTGGTTGATTATTTCCGCTAGATCAGAGTTTTCTTCTCCGTTCCATCGCTCGCCTGCACTAGTTTTCTCTCTCTCTCTCTCTCTCTCTCTTTCTAACGTACTTTGCGCATGTCTTTTGGTTTTCGTTCACCTTTCTTTTCCACCTCTTATCTTCCTTTCTTGGCTTTCGTTCTGAGTCATGAAGCTCGCGCGAAACTCTTTTTTCTTTTTTTCTTCTTTTTTCTTAATTCGACCGGGCATCGCTCGTTAAATGTCCAAATGTTTTATTTATTTCGTGCTTAAAAAAATATTCACAATGTGTACCGTCCGTTGCCATTTCACATCAGGGTAGGCACAAATTCTATGATAACTCATGTATCAACTCAAGTACTTGTGTTGCGTGTTTTCGCTTTGCGGATAAATCCTATTCAAAGAACAAAAAAAATTTCTCTAATTGTCATCGTTGTCTCTTGAAATGAGATTGATAACGAATGATAACAAGTTACAACTCTTAACGAAAACAAACGAGGAACAATACGATAAGTTCGTAAACACAACCACAAGCGTCTCGCGAACGTATTCAATTGTATTCATTCCAGAGATACAAGAAATAAATTACGAATTACACAAGACGCGACGTTCGATCGTGATGATTTCTCAGGAACAACGTACTTTGGTAAAGTAAATAAAAAAAAAAAATAAATAAATAAATAAAATAAAATGAATTAATCTAGAAAAATGAAATTGCACTTGATCTCGAATTACTCGAGACCTTCAAAAGATAATATAAAATAGTTTATCCTAAGTTTTAAATAGTTACTTTGGTTTTGGTTCACGCGAATATTAAATAAATATCCTATATACGGGAAACGCGTTCTTTATACATGTAGAACGAAATAATATAATCGTGAATGTTAAAATTCTAATGCAAAGTATATATATATATATATATAAAAAAAATGACTAGACACAGACTAGGTAGAATAAAAAATTAAAATATAAAGCTCTTCGAAAAAGCCTAAGTTTAATTCTGTTTTAAACGATTCTATACTATTTCCTTCTCCCCTATTTCCCTCTACGTCGTATTTTGCAGAAACAATTCCGCGCAAGAGGGACACTCGATCTTTCTTGTTGTTGCATATATATATACATATATATATATTTAGTCCCTTTGGTCGTCGCGTCGTTTTCTTTTTATTTTTTTTTCTTTTCTTCAACCCCCTTTTGGTTACTCTTTTTTTTTTTTTTTTTTTTTTTTTTTTTTTTTTTTTTTTTTTTTT